CTTTGGCGTCCCCGCCCATTCAGCCAACCATTTACCCATTTCATCAACCAGCTTTCCTGAGTGCTTCCTTCTTTCCATTCGCCGAGTGCAGCCCGCATCTTACGGTACCGGGACCTGTGCTGGGGATGTAGAGACGAGCAAGACGGAGGAGACAGACAGAGGGGGGAACGGGCAGTGGTTCATCTAAGCAAATGCAAGGCCTCTCTAAATTAGTTCTTGTCCCTCCCTCCCATCTTTTTTTTTCTTCCATACTAAGCAGTCTCTGTCCCCCTCCATCTATCACCATTGCCATGGTAACTCTGACTGTTGATGAAAAGAAAGAGCTACGTGAAGGGGAGCCCCAAGTCCCACCCCTTTGCTCTTGGTTTCTCCCTTGGAATGAGGGGTGTGGGTACTTGACACTTCAAATACAGTGATTTCAGGAATCAGCCTGGTGGCTCAGCCAGCTCCTTCTTTTATCTTCTAATAAATACAGTTTCCCTTGCAGTTTCCTGGTGCCACAGAGGGTGATCAATCCAGGATAAGAAATAGCCAGGCCAGGAAAATGACCTTTTAATAAAGTTGAAAGGGCCACTGGGAGAGCGGGATGGCCAGGTGGTGGCTGTGTGCTGAGGTTGTCGGCGAGGGCGGCTCCAGGACGGGCTGCAGCGGTAGCGCCGAGGACAGCAGCAGTCGGTTGTCACGGAAGAGGGTTCTGGCTGAATGTTAGCAGATGTTTTCCTACAACTGTGCAGAGCAGCCTTTTGTGGGAAGAGGTGAGATTTGTTTGACAACTCACACTCCCCTCATCTGCTCTTCCTGCAGTAGCTTTTCACAGGAAATAGGCAGGTGGATGGTGTTTCTCTGAAAGTCTATTTTGGACTTTGGTGCTTGTGTGGACCACGTGCCTGGCTGCACTGGTATCTTCACCTCCGTTACAGCAGTGGTTCTTAAGCTGTGGGGAGCATCACGGTCACCGGGGGTGCTTGTTAAAAATGCATATTATTCCCTGGTGGGACCTAATAATCTGTATTTTTTTAACATGTTCTGTAGGTTTTGCAGGTTCTATCCAGATATTTTCAGCTACAAGGAACAAAGTCTAACTCAGATTGGCTAACAGGGAATATCACTGTCTCTCAAACAGCCCCAAGACCCCCATGATGGGGACTGTGGTGTGAACTGTGCCCCCTGGAGTTGTGCACGAGGGTAGTTCTGAACCCTGGGGTAGGGTGGGCTTCAGGGTTGATTGTTTCAGTGGCTCAGTGATGTCAGCAGGGCCCCAGGTCCTTCCCACCTCTGCCATGTGGGTGCTACTTCATCTGCAGGCGGGAATGAGGTGACTGCTGCATTTCCAAGCATCTCAGACACAGTGACATCCAGAGGAAGAAGAAGGGGGATGTAGGTTGATTTCTGGCTGAGGCACCTCCATGATGCCTCCTTGGCTGGAGCTGGGTCACATGTCCATCCTGTGCCAGTCACTGAAGGCGCTTGTACTTCTGGAGTCGCTTGGGGGGACGGGCACCTGAGCAAAGTGGAGGCTCTGTTAGGAGGGGAGGAAGGGGACGAGGGGCTGGGAAGGCAACCACCGGGCCCAGTGCGTAGGTGGTTGGTAGACCACACGCCAAGATACACCGCCCGATGGCATCCTGACCAGGCGGCTGTTGGTGAGGTTATCTCTGTTGTGCAGATGAGGAAGCGACATGCATCAGGCTCTGTGATGGTCTTAGGTAACACACCTAAGGTTGTGCGGGTCGGGAGTGAGGGGACGGGGGTGTCTGAGAGGCTTTTAGCCCTAGGAGAGCAATCATCCTTTTTTTGCCTTCCCGAGGTCTCCAAGCCGCCCCCTTCATTTCTGGTTTCTTCTCCATGACTGCAGTTATTCATGGTAGGAGGCTTTCTTGAGTGTTTCCTGGGGAAAGAGTTCTCCAGGCCTAAGAAAAACTATATTTTGCTGCCCCCACCTCCACATTGGCTGTGCCCGAAAGCAGCTGAAATAATGATACCAGCTCAAATTTTGGGGGGCTGCCCCTGTGCCAGGTATAGCGCAGACATTATCTTCAATCCTGGCAACAACCCCTGAGGTTAGGTTCACTGTTTGTATTCTATGGAAATTGAGGCCCAGGAGGGTGAAGCAGCGGTGGTGGAGCCGGGCCGCGGACTGCCCCACTCAGAGTCGGTGCCCTTCCCCACCCCACACTGGGGCTTATCAGCAGCGGCCAGCTTGTTATGACCCCAAAGGAAGGTTCTCAGGGAAGAGGGTTTCAGTGTCAAAAGAGTTCCAGTGGAGCTAAATGTTTCCTATGGGAATAATTCTCAGGGCACTAGGAAAAAATATCCTGAGCATAATAAACACGAGAAAGAAACAGGAAATCTGGTTAGTTTTATAGCAGTAAAATGTGAAGAGGAAGAACTCTCAAAAAAGCCTGGCGGTTTGTTGGACTTGAAACTGGAAGGCCGTGATGGAGAGGGTGGACAGTGCGACCGCAGTGAGGAGTGCTGGGTGGAGAGTCTGAACCCCGCCGTTCTCCAGTTCTGCTTTGGAGACGGAAGATGCATCTCGGTGTGCAGAGGGAGCAGAAAGGGCGGAGTAAGCCATGCCAGCTCTGCAGGGCTTTGCACAGGTGATGGGGTGTCAGGTGGAAGCCACAGAGTTGACGCCTTAGTTTTATTTTGTTTATTCTTTAATGTTTTTATTGACTTTAGAGAGAGGAAAGGAGAGGGGGAGAGAGACAGAGAGAAACATTGAGTGAGTGAGAGAGAGAAACAGCGAGTGAGAGAGAAACATCGATTGGTTGCTTTCCTACACACCCGACCAGGGACCAAACCTGCAACCTGGGCATGTGCCCTGACTGGGAGTTGAACTGGCAACCTTCTGGATGCCTTAGTTTTAAACGCAGTGAAGCTCTACCTGGTTGTGAGCTGTTAGTTGCCTAAAGTGCAGGGCGCATCAGAGCCAGCGGAGGGCAGATGTCTGGCTTCCACCTCATCTCAAGGAGAAGTCAGCTGTGCCCCCAAAGCCCCTTTTTGGCTCTAGACATTTGGAGGCCCTCCCTTGGCTCCTTGCCTGGCCTGTGCCTTGGGGAGTATTGTCCACAGATGCTCAGGGGGAGATACCCACAGTGCAGTGAACAGAGATAAGTACCCCATGCTCAGTACACAAGGTACAGAACTTGGCTGCTGTGGGAGAACCTGGGGGCTCGGGAAGCTCTGGATAAACCGGGAGGTGGAAGCTGAAGATGTGTGTTGATGGTGGACCACAGGTGTGTGTATGTGTGTGTGTGTGTGTGTGTGTGTGTGGCGGGGCATCCACAGGTGAGGCCCTTTCCAGTTGTAGCCCACACTCCTCTCTGATCATAGTGGCTTTGGCAAGCTAGTGACTTGACTTTGCAAGTGTGAACAGAGGAAATAATAGGGAATTTTTACCCCCCAGTGAAACACATTTGCAGGTTTAGGATTTTGAGTCTGTAGGAAGATATTTAAGTTTCTCCCATCCTCCCTCCCATTTATCGAACACCTACATATTTGTTGAGCAATTTTTGCATGGCAACTGAGCTTGGTGCTGAGGCTTCAAAGACCCAAATCATTGCCTTCTAGGAGGGCTCTCCTAGGTAAACGGAACCTTACAGGTGTGTGTGATAAGTGCTACGGGGTATGTACAGGATCCTCCGGGAGAGGTAGGAGGGAACACCTGGTTGTGTCTGGTGGGGGAGGGGCCATTACTGCTCAGAGGAGGTGACCCCTGAGCTGGGCTGGAAGGCTGAGAAAGGTGCCAGGTGGACCGGCCGCTCCGAAGGGATTCTCAGCAGAGGGCGGAATTGTTTTCACCTGACAATGTGGCGCGTTCACCGAAGCCTGCTGTGTGCTGGCGGTGATGCAGGGATGGACGGACTCAGGTGCTTGTCTGCAGTGAATGGGAGGTGACAGTGCGGGTGGAGTGTGGACAGAGCCCTGGAAATGGGCCCTGCTGACCTTGGTTTTGGTGTTTGCTAGTCAGTCTTCCTCTCGGGAAGGATATTTCTTTGCAGGTTTTTTGTTGGTGAGAGGCTGTGTCGGAGGAGTTAGCTTGCTGCCCGCTGCCCTCGCTGACTGTGCCCTTCAGCAGTTGGGATTATGCTCTGGGGCATTTATGTAGACTTAGGTTTCCTCCTGTTGGGCTTGGGTAAGGCGCTGCACCTCTCTGGGCTTCATTCTTCTCACTTATGAAAAAATGGGCTGTTGGGCCAGGCCAGTGTTTCTCAAACAGCGGTCTGGGGACCACCTACCAGCATGGCATGGTGCTGCAGTCCTGGCGGGAGGCTCCGCCCCATTCACCCACCAGAGGCGTGGGAGTGGGGCCCGGGGGTCTGCCTGCAGCAGGCACGCCAGGTGATTCCTGGACACCTCAGCGTTTGGGGAGCCAGGGCTACAGGATTTCAGCTTAATCCTTTCACCCCTGACGCCCTCAGCCACAGCTATGTGCACAGGAACTGGAAAGTGAAACGTTCGCTTTCGAGATGATTGGTCCTCGCAATGATGCCTTCAGCAAGCTGCCCCACAGCCGAGGGGCCCGACTCGGCGGCCTGTGCTCGGGCTGTTCCGCAGGCCTTGCCACCGGGCACCTGAATGTGACTGTCAGGATCTGTTTAGGAGCTGAATCATTGCAGCATGCACCCATCTCAGCTGTCCAGCTCTGGCTGAGCCGAGGCTGACTGGCTTCCCTGTCCCGGCCCTTCTCCCTGGACCTCCTGCATTCTGGCGAGGTTATCTGTGTCGCTGAACATGAGGCCGACATTTCACTTTGTCTTTCACAAACAGCATCTCCACTCTGGTCCCCCTCAGGCCACCTTCCTGAGGTTAGTCAGGGAGGCCAGCTATTAAAACACTGTTTTAGTAACTGCTGAATGGGTTCTTATGTTTTTGGTTTTGTGTCTGAAAACCGTTTTTAATGCTCAACGTAAGTAAATAAGGGCTTTCTGTAGCTGCCCGGGAGTGGCTCCAGGTTCTTGTCCTTTCCCTCAGAAATCTCCTCGTAGGCCCAAGACCCCACAGTGTTGGCGACTTGGAGAAGCTGTTGCCCGAGAACCACTCTCGGCTGGACCCCTTCCTGTCCTTCAGGTGTGGATGAAATGGTCCTAGGCGGGTACACTGTTCTTTCCCCTCAAAGGTGAAACCTTGGCACCTAGTATCTGAGATCTTAAAAACTGAGACCATTTCTTTGGATCTTGGTTCACTTCTGGTTTTATTATTCTCTATTACGGTTTTCCTTGTTGAAATCAATCTATAAACACAGAATTCTACACTAGTAAATTTTGATGAACCCTTGGACATTACTGAGGTGGCAGAAATCCAGAACTGTCTTTATTTTTGTAACTTTTATTTTTAAAAAATATGTTTTTATTGATTTGAGAGAGAGAGAGAGGAAGGGAAAGAGAGAGAAACATCGATGTGAGAGAGAAGCATCAGTCAGTTGCCTCCTGTACACACCCCAACCAGAACCAAACCCACAACCTGGCATGTGCTCTGACTGGGAATCGAACCAGCGACCTTTTGGTACATAGGATGACGCTCAACTAACAGCCACACTGGACAGGGCCAGAACGGTCTTAAACGATTAAAGTGGTAGATGTTGTTTTGTATACAGGAAGGCAGGTCAAGATTCTTCCCCGTATTTCCCAGTTCTCTATCCATAGTGGGTGCCCAACACGTGGCCTCTGGAAGCATGAGTTTTTAAAAAATGACAGACCAGCCCTGGCCGGTTTGGCTCAGCGGTTAGAGCGTCAGCCTGCGGTCCAGAGAGACCCGGGTTCGGTTCCCGCTAAGGGCATGTACCTCAGTTGCAGTTTGTCTCCGGCCCTGGTTGGGTCGTGCGGGTGGCAGCCACTCGATGTGTCCCTTTCATGTCGATGTTTTCTCTCTCTCTTCCTCTCTCTCCCTCCCGCTCTATCTGAACAAAAAATGAAAAAATGACAGACCAGCAATTAAACTGGTAAAAGCATGGCATTCAGAAATCTGGTCATTGTGAATTTGAATTTGCCCTTGTTCTTCCTTAAGTTTAATTTCATGGAAATATCAATTAGATGCAGGATTGGGCGCAGTGCAGAATGGCAGGGAGGAGAAAGGACAGACGCTGTGTGCATTTTAAGTACTTTGATACATCTGTTAGTTGTTTATTATTTTGCTAGATAATTCCCAGAGATTGATGAACAAACCCTTTCATTTTGTGTTCAGGGAAACTGAGGTACAGGGGTGAAGTAATGAATCTAAGTATACATAATGAAGCTGTCGGCAGGCCAGTTGACCAACAATCAAGAAGGATTTACAGAGTACCTCCTGTCTGCCGGAATACACACGAATTAAAATGTATCTTTGCAAACACTGTTAGAGGGGATGGAAGTCACCTTGGCGTGCATAGTTGCTTTGTGACATTTCTGTCACTTGGCTGTCACTTGGCTGTTTGGCTTTTGCTGGTGTCTCTCCAAGGACAGGGAGCTCACTATTTACAGAGGCAGTTCATTTAATTTAATTTAATTTAATTAATTAATTTATTTATTTAATCTTCATCTGAGAACATTTTTGCATTTATCTTCAGATAGAGTGGGAGGGAGAGAGGAGGAAGAGAGAGAGAGAGAAACATTAATGTGAGAGAGACACATCGACTGGTTGCCACCCACACAACCCCAACTGGGGCTGGGGACAATCTGCAACCGAGGTATGTGCCCTTAGCGGGAACCAAACCCGGGACTCTCTGGTCGGTGGGCCGAAGCTCTTACCGTTGAGCCAAACCAGCCAGGGCAGTTCATTTTATTTTTGAATGCTTCTAATTATTAGAATTCTTTAATATGAGGTATAATCAACCTGTCTTATACTTTTCTTTTTCAGGACCCATGTCTCACTGTATTTATACATAGGGATTGATTGATTCATTCAGGCATGTGTTGAGTACCAACTATGTTTTAATTTAGGATGAATAAGAGAAAACAAGCCCTGGCCGGTTTGGCTCAGCGGTTAGAGCGTCCGCCTGCGGTCCGTAAAGACCCGGGTTCGGTTCCCGCTAAGGGCGCGTACCTCGGTTGCAGTTTGTCCCCGGCCCTGGTTGGTCGTGCGGGTGGCAGCCACTCGATGTGTCCCTTTCACATCGATGTTTCTCTCTCTCTCTTCCTCTTTCTCCCTCCTACTCTGTCTGTACAAAAAATGGAAAAATGTCCTCGGATGAGGATTAAAAAAAAAAAAAAGAGAAAACAAGATAGACAAGGTTCCTGCCTCCTGGAACGTAGACCCTGGTGTTAGTATAGTGGAAAGAACATTGAACTAGATGTCAGAAAACCTGAGTACAAGCTAAAGACATTTATTTAAAAAGAAAGGAAGAAAGAAAAAGGAAATGAAGCCCTGGCCGGTTTGGCACAGCGGTTAGAGCGTCGGCCTGCGGTCCTGAGAGACCCGGGTTCGGTTCCCGCTAAGGGCATGTACCTCGGTTGCAGTTTGTCCCCGGCCCTGGTCGGTTGTGCGGGTGGCAGCCACTCGATGTGTCCCTTTCGCATCGATGTTTCTCTCTCTCTCTCTGCCCCCCCCCCCCCACTCTACCTGAACAAAAAATGGAAAAATGTCCTCGGGTGAGGATAAAAAAAAAAATTAATTAAAAAAAAAAAGGAAATGAAGATTTTTGTACTATTTGCAAACTGTATGAACTTGGCTAAGACACTTGAGTATCTGTTTTCACTTCATTTTATAGAGAACATTATCTCATTGGACCTTCTCATTGGGGTGATGTACCTTGTAAAATGTTAATTGCTGTATATTTCTAAGAGTAGTACTAGCTCTTGCTTCCAGAGCGGAGTTCTCAGAGTGCGGTCCTCAGGTCAGCAGCATCACCTGGGGACTTGGTAGAAAAGCACATTCCTCAGCACCACCCCAGCAGTGCTGACTCGGGAACTCGGGGCTGAGGCCTGGAAATTGTTTGCCCAGGGCTCCAGGTGACTGCTGCCTTCCCTGGTTGGAGAAAGCCTGCTGTGGGTAGACTCGAGCAATAGTTCCCAGTCTTGGCTGCACATTGGAGTCACCTGAGGGGGGCTTTTCAACCTGTGCCTGTTGTGCCCTGACAAGTCAGCTCAGAATCTGAGGGCGGGGCTGTGCAGAAGCCTCCCAGCAATTCTGAGGGCTGGAGGGACCCGGAGGTGCGATAGACAGGAGCTCAGATGGCGGAGTTACCCAGTTTGGTTTGAGTCCTGACTCTGTCCCTACCAGCTCTGTGGAATTTGGCAAGAGTACTCTGGCCTCAGTCTTTATCTGCATAATGGGGATAAAAACGCCCCCCCTCAGGGCTGTCACAGCAGTCAAGTGGGATGATGCAGGTCAGTCTGAGGATGTGTCTGGTGCGGGGTAAGTGAAGGAGGACTGAACTGATTGGTGGTAGCGGAGGGTATTTGAATCTGATGGTGCTCATCTCTCTTCCCAACCCCCTGTTTTGGGAAACTTCATGACTCTCTTTGAAAGGCAGAGTCCCATTTGACAATATCCATCAAAACTACAAATGCATCTGTTTTCTTTCCTTGTAATTTCAGTTCTTGGAATTGGTCCTGCAGCTATGCCTACACAGGTGAGAAATGATGTAGGTTCATTCCTTACACCTGCTGGCGGTCGCAGAGGGCGGGCGCAGAGGGCGGGCGCAGAGGGCGGGCGCAGAGGGCGGGCGCAGAGGGCGGGCGCAGAGGGCGGCCCAGCCTCGGTGTGCAGCAGTCAGCAGCTCCACGCCGCGGGCCTGCGGCTGCGGAACAGTGGCTGCTCCTTGAGAACTGGTGTGGCCTCTGCCAGATCCATTTCTTTTCTTCTTCTTTTTAATCCTCACTCAAGGATACTTTTCCATTTATTTTCAGACAGTGAAGGGAGAGATATAGAGAGAAACATCGATGTGAGAGAGACACATCGATTGGTTGCCTCCCGCATGACCCCAACCAGGGCTGGGGACCGAACTGCAACCGAGGTACGTGCCCTTGACTGGAATCGAACCTGTGACTCTTGGGTCTGCGGGTTGACGCTCTGCTGAGCCAAACCAGCCAGGGCAGGATCCATTTCGCACATGGAACAAGCAGAATGTGGACCTGTGTGAATGGTGTGCTACCATCTGTGCAAAAAGCGAGAGGACGCTGTGTGTTTATTTGCCTGTATCTACATCCAGTACCCGTGGAAGGGTACAAAAGAGACAGGTAATGCTGTCTGCCTTTGAGGAGGAGATTAGGTGGAAAAGGAACTTTTCACTATAAACCACTGAGTGCCTTTTAAATCATCTGATTGTAACCCATTTAAGGAATTCATTTAAAAGAGTATGGTGTCCTGAGCTGAATCCTCCACTTGTGGCCCGGCCGCTGTGAGGTACAGCGGGAGTATTACCGTTTTTCTGGGATTTGGACACTGGCCTACTTTTGCTGCCATTTCAGATTGCATTACTCTGGCCTGTGGGCTCTGATGAACCCTGTGGTCAGTGACAGTACCCAGCTCTGTTTGCCTGAATGGCTGCGGGGCAGGCCTCATGGCCTCGAGGAAGCTCAGGATGGCCCGGCCTGCGCTCTCGCACAGCTAGCTCTGTGTTCGCCCAGAATAGGCTGCTTGGAGCATTTGCATCTTGATGCTGTCATCGGGAGTGTCTCCTCTTCCCAGTCTGGTGCCGGCCGGGGTTTGATGAGCCTGCCTCCTGGTCTCTCCGCAGTCAAGTCATTGTTAAGACACTGGGCAGGGCGTGGCGGGCGAAGAGCTGAACTGGGAAGAACTGTCACGCTGTCAGTTACTTTGTCCGGCTTCTCATCAGGCTACGTCCGGGTGCGCCCGCTAGGTGCCAGGCACTGTGCTGGTGCAGAGGGCACACGGAGGAACAGCACAACCTCTGCCTGGGAAAGGGTAATCATCTGGCGTAGAGGTGAGGGGGCTTTTTCTCTAAAGGGTCAGATCGTATTAAATAGCGTTAGCTTTGTGGGTCGTCTCTCTCGTAATACTCATCTCTGCCCTGCTGCTGTGGCTCTTCCAGTGAAATGTACCAAAAACAGGTGGGGGCTCGATTTCGCCTGTGGGCCGTGGTGTCTGGAAGGAAGACAGACTAGAGCGAAGTCAGGTTCAGTAGGTGCTAGGAGAGGGGTATGTGCAAAGTATTCGTGGCCCAAAGGAGGGAGTGATATATATTCTGTGGGGGTAGTTGTTCAGCCACTGACTCCGTGTCACTAACTTATCTGCAAGTGAATCACTTGCTTTGCTTTGCTGAAATCAAGATGCGTTTTCTCGCTCACATTTCACCTGGTCTTTCTACTTGGCAATCACAACCAGAAACAACTGGTACATTTTTGGCATGACTTGGTCGTCCTGTACCCACATTGCCTTTTCCCAGTGTTCCCATTCTTTTCTAAATGCCCCCTCACCATTTGTTTTCTAAATTTGCCAGGAGTCTCTTAATTTGTAGCTTTCAGGGCTTTTTCATTTGTAGACGTCAGGTTTGCCCACTTTCCTGGCTTAAAGTTGGGACGTGTCTCACCCCTTCTCCTTTGTGTGATCTTGGAGTTGGTCACAGGTCTAAGAAACTTTCATGGTCAGTTTAATATGTAGGAAAGAATTGTATGTTGTCTGAAGAAAATCTGGAACCACATCAAAAAGCAGAAGGAATCGAAAACAAGTCAGTGACGGTGCGCCGCTCCGCCGTGGCCCCTTAACATTTGGGTGTCGTTGCTGCCAACTATGTGAAAAATAATCTAAGTTTACAGTCACTGCTTTGGAAGGACTGTGGTCCAACAGGGGAGCCTGATGTTTAGGCTAATTAGTAAAGTTTCAGAGAGCACGACTCAGGTGTGTTCAGAGGGTAGTGGACGCATAGAGGATGAAAGAGGTCCGTTCCACCTGGCGTGGGGGTGGGGGCTGCATAGAACAGGTGGCCCTTGATAACCAAGCAGAGGTAGTAGTTGGAGGAATAAGAAACAGAGTTGTTTATAAGCTACAGTCACAACTGTGTGCTAAACATATATGAAAAGATGTGCAAGGAAATGTCCCCAAATAATACCATGGTGGGAATGTTGGTGAATGTGGTTTTATTTTCTCTGGTTTTCCAAATGGGAGTATAATGCCTCCTGTTAGTATTTTTCTTACCACCACACACCTGTGCCTCGGTTGGTCAGCATGACTCAGGGCTGCAGAGCTTGGCTGCAGGCTTGCTGCAGAGCCAGGAGCTTGGGGCCAGGCTGGCAGTGCCCATGCACCGCTGGCATTGCATCGCCATCCGTGGTACCTGAGGACAAAGTAGAGAAGCTAATAATGCTCTGATAGCCCAGATGCCTGGGAGTCGTATGGTGTTATCTTTGAAATCTGAAAGTTCTAGACACATCTTGGATGTAACTTGAATAAAACAGTACAGATTTCTTCTTTGCAACTCAGCCTGATCAGGCCAGACCTTACTTCTCTGTGCCGCATTCTTACATAGCCAGAGTCACTTTTTTTTCCCTCACCCGAGGACATTTTTCCATTTTTTGTTCAGATAGAGTGGGAGGGAGAGAGGAAGAGAGAGAGAGAGAGAGAGAGAGAAACATCGACATGAAATGGACACATTGAGTGGCTGCCACCCACACGACCAACCAGGGCCGGGGACATACTGCAACCGAGGTACGTGCCCTCAGTGGGAACCGAACCTGGGTCTCTCCGGACCGTAGGCCGATGCTCCAACTGCTGAACCAAGCCGGCCAGGGCCAGAGTCACTTTCAAAATGTTCAAGTGCAGAAGCTTGAGATACTGCTTTGGGAGGAAAGTGACATTATTGGGTGCATAGAGAAAATATTACATGCAGATTTCTCCCAGCCCCTTTCCATCCTTTAAATAATGAAAAACAAGCTGGTGTCACTGCCACCAGTCCCCCGAATTTCTGGCACAGAGGGGAGCCCTGAATTGGGAAGGGTCTGGCCGCATGTGCTGCGGACAGTGAGTCCTGTCTGACTCACCCCCCGGGAGAGAAGAGTTGGACTGTCCTGAGTCCAGACTGGCTTTTCCTCTTACTTGCTGTGTAACTGCAGGTAAGGTCTTTGAGCTCAGCTTCCCCCCTCCATTAAACTGGGGTGCTGAAATTGACCTCACTTGCAAGGAGTGAACCAGTGAATGTACGGAAGCCCCAGCCTAATGCCCGACCCACGAACAGGCGGCTGTCCTTATTGCTGCTAGACCGATAGTGCCAGCCTTCTAGGTTGGCTCGTGTGTCCCACGCATGAGCGTGGATAACGAGCCCTGGTGTTGCATTTATTATCAGTACTTTGCCCCCGTGATTCTGAATATTGACATGCAGTTGGCAGGGTGTGGGTCATTGTTGGGAGTTCTGGTCCAACCACATAAAATAACATTCGGTGAAATTTCATTTCAGAGATTGTTTTTCACAAAAGTCTTCTACAAGATCCTTGAAGGGCAGACTTGGTGAAATGTCAGGTGCTGTGTCCATTCACGGTGTTGATGAAGGCTCTGCTCAACTAGGAAACACGCCTGTGTTGAGTAAGGCCTCAGCACTGTGCCGGCTGACTAGACACACAGAAGGGGACTAATTAGCAACAGGGCAGGAGAGAGGAGGCCCTCGGGGTTGGGTTTGAGACTGGAAAAGCTTTCTCACCTTCCTGTCTCTAACCGGTAAGCACACTGGGCCCTGGCTCAGCTTCAGGAGGGCCTGGGAAACTTGTCTTCTTGCAGTTGTGGCCTGACTTCGTTCCTGTCTCAGGACAGCTCCCGTTTTCACTTTTCCGCTGCTCCAAGGTCCGCCTGCTGGGCTCCAGACCAGCCTTGTGGTGAAACAAGATAAACTCGGGAGAGAGGTTCTGTCCCCCATCAGGAGGGCCCGCAGGGTGGGAAGGCTGGCTCCGCAGTCCCCAGAGAAGGGATGATGAGAGTTAATCGGTCTTCATTTGTCTGCCCCTTAAGATGAGAAAGTCATCTCCAAATTAGGGCTGACAGACGTGTTGCTGTTACGTGGAGCACCGAGCTCTCTGCTGCTCCCTCTGCCCACTGTTGACTGTCAGCTGAATCTGAAGGCATGGGGTGACCGCCGCCCTCTTTCTCCATTCCTTACCTGTCACAGCTGTGTGGGGGCCAGAAAGGTCAGGCGAAGGGGCACCTGAGCTCTGAGGTCTGGCACACAGTAGGTGTTTCACAAACACTCTGTCTCCTTGTCCAGTGGGGGACCCACCTGTGGTAATTACGTCAAATTCCGGGCATGGAAAGAACTGGAACCATCTTTTGTGTGTGTAGCTTTTTAATATCTGAACAATAGGGTAGGTGGTCTTCAGACAACTCGAGTTAATCTACAAAGACCACTTTAAACATCTTTTTGTAGAAATGTCCATTTTAACACATCTTACAGAGCGGAAATCTGTTGGTCTCTGTTTAGCTGCCTAATCTGTAGACCCATAGGTCTGCAACCCGCAGGTTAGCTCGTCTCAGTCTTGCTGCAGTCTCTTGGGCTCCCAGTATTTATTGCAAAATCCTGACAGTTTCCATGCCTTTCATGCAAGCACAGCATATCTGTTATTTATTTATTTTTAAACTTAAAATTTTTATTTGCTAAAGGTATATTTTATCATCTAATTTGAAAGGGTC